AACTGATATTGTCTAAAAGCTAATCACAAGGTTCTCTCAGTCTTATCCATAATACACAGTGTGAATATTTACGTAGAATTGCTTTTATTGTTTGGGATTCATTTGCCTGATTAAATTTTATTGTCATTATTGCTTGAATCCCCTAGAAAACAGTATGATAACTAGGAAAAGATACAGCACATTAAAACTGATTAGGTACAGGTTAAACAAAGATGGTTTCTTATCAGTTATCTGTTGAGTCATAAAATTCAAGAAAATATTGTTACCAATAGCATTAATTGACACATTGATTGGTATAGAGTGAGGATGTAACAATCGAATTATTCTGCGACAAACCGAGATAACTTTTCTGTAGGAAGTAAATTCTCCTCGTGTAATCAAAGCATAACCTCTTTTAATAGACTCACTGACTTATTGTTAAACATCATATCTTGAGAAGTTACTTTGTGAATACAATTACACAATAACAGTTTTACTGATTGCTATATTGAATCTAAGAATAACAAATCTTTTGCTAGATGGTGAATATTTTCAACTGCTCTACAATTACATTCAAGAAGAGTATTAGAAAGGCTTCCTAATGATGTGACACAAGATATTTCGTTCAACATGACAGCTTGTTAGAAAAGATAGTGAATAAATTAAAAGTTTCAGTCTTTTCCCTCAAAAAATCATCGGTTATCAAAGAGCTATGGATAGCTGTTTCTCCTAATATTATGACTACATTAATAATATTGATATGTGATGAAACTGGCTTTGAAATCAACCAATTTTTCAGTTTATGGATAAATACTCCCTCTTTCGATATGACTCTTATTAAACTAGTTTCATTTTAAGGATTCTGATTCTTATTGACAAATTCTTTTCATTATCAACACCTAATGTACTTTTTTTCGGTTAGACTTCGAAATTTTTCGTCCAGTCAGTAGCAATATCAAGTAACTTTTTATTGCAATAAATTCCTTCGTAGGCAATTTTATTATCAGTGTTATTTTTAAATTTTATTCTCCTGTACAATATCAATATCGCTTTGGTATTACAAAACAATGTAAAAAAAAACACGGTTACATCAACTTCTAACCAGTATTACTTTATACCCTAGAGACATAAGATATGCCTTTATGTGATTATTATTATTATTATCACTATCAAGTAGCAACACCATTCTGCATTAACCTCATCACCAAACTCTTGTTAACTTATATAGACAAAGATGCCACCATCCGCATGTATATGTGTATATTTATTTGAGAATACGAATGTACAACCATTTCCATTCTGAACGATATATAGTTACCTTTGGATTGTCACACCTAAAGTTTAACCTCAGTGTTTTTTATCTGTCTTCCTCTTAGAACTCATAAAACATTTAAGGAAGCAAAATAGGAAAGACGGAGGGTGGGGAAATAACTTGAAATAGCAACAGTCAATGTAAATGAGTGTGGATAAAAAGGATAGAATGGTTATTCAGATAAGTACTCAGTTTAATGTTTTTTCTCTCTCGACTGAATAGGATATTTCACTGTGTCCTTTATGCATATTCATTTGGGACTAATTAAGAATGAGCTAATTCAAAGGAAATGTATGCGATAATGAAGTAAAGACTCATGATAACACCTAATCTTCTTCCTCATTTTTCTACGGAGTGGTAGGAAATTGAGAAGATGGTCTCACTGACCTCCAACGATCATCTCGAGATATATATATATATATATATATATATATATATATATATATATATATATATATATATATATATATATAGTTCATAGTGCAAGTGCTTCGGTACTACAGTTAACTACTTTTTAGTAATAATGGGTGCTTACGAAGTATAGAAGTTAGGTTTTGCATTCCATCATAATTTGAACTAATCAACTAAATAAAACTGTCTCTAAGTATCCCATGTCCATACTGAAACTTCAGCTGCGCACTTATTGCTTCGTAAATGAAGTACCTCTCTATTAAACTCGTAGGTCAATACCGACTATTCGATTAAGTTCGCTAAATTAATAAAATTTCATTCTCAGATATTATATGTCAATCTCTAGTTATGCAGTGGGTGGTAACTGTAACTCGGTGTATTCAATGAATTCTATCTGCTAAATCCCTTACAGGTTTTTTATGTCATATTTAATTTAACTGGATGTTTCCATAAAATCACTTATGAGATTCATGCATTCACAACTGATTTATCGGGAGACTTTTAATAAAGAATAGATGTTTACAGAGACATCTAAAGAGGCGGTCAAAATATCGTACAGGATAGTGAAGAACGTGTACTTCTTACTAAACACTTAGAACTTAGGTAAATCCGAAAGAAGACAAAATAATACTTGCTTTCACCATTAGCCACAAATTTATTTCACTGTTGCAGTATCCAAGCTTACTTCAGTCTATTTTCACTGAAAAGACTTGAGATACTTTGTATAACAGTGGAATAACGGGTTTCAAGTGTTGTTTATTGAACAGAAAGGTAACTGATATCTCTCTTGACAGTTAAATTCTTATACTAAAAAGTGTGAAGGTTTGATTCTGAGGATAACCACCTTTCACCAATCCATTTTACAATGTTACATATTTCTAAGGTTGGTAGATCTGTTGGGGAATTCCGACTCTAAGGTATGGTAGCTGCATACGAAACATTTTATTATTTTTACTATACAACGTGCTGGTAATTAATTGTGTTACACTTGATATTTTGAAGAAATTCTATTTCAGATTACCAATAAAACAACCTCATACATGGGAAGAAATATAATCACGAAAATTCTAACAACATAATTTAGTTACTCAGCTCTGTACCGCAAGTATAAACTGGACACGCTGCTTTCAAAAGCATTGCCCACTCATCATGGAAGAAGCAAAAACTGTTTTTATTTTTTGATTCCAGTTGTTATTAATTAAACACTTAAATAAAGGGTACGGAGAGAAAAATGATTGATAAGCGAAAGAATAAACAAAGGGGGCAACGGTAGATGGCGGATAGATAGACACTAATGGAATAAGTAACAAAGTATAAATAATGAAGATGGAAAAGAAAGTCTTTTTATTCTATCACAGGATTGGTGAGACAAATTTATCTGTGACGCCCATAAAAATATAACAACAGCAGAATAACGCAGGATACTATTTTAATGGACTTCACCGTTTATTAATTGAATAAGAAAGATATTTTTTGATGTGTATCCATTTACATATACACTTGCACAAATTGATAAGTAAGCTTTCTTTTTTGATAGACACGAGATGATGTGAAAGATTCTAATAACACACCTTAGGGGACAGATACGAAACGAGACGAGAAAAGTAGCATAAATCTATTGTTTATACTTGTTCAATAGAAATCCATATTTATGCATAAAGTTTGAATCATGCGAGTTAAACATTCAATGTTTTATACTCCTTAACAAGGTCTCATTATTGTTTATAGAAAAAGGGGAATGAAGTGTTTAAATTTCCATTATTGCTTTCGTGTTTTGTTTTTATTTTTTATGTATTATTGATATTCTAATGGAATAATGAACTTTCATAGAAATATTTTCAGAAAATACTCCAATAAACCGTCCCATTTCAATCAGGAGGACACTGGTTTTTAAATGAGAATGAGAACACTTTATTTCGTCGATATTTTTTTCGCCTAGTGCGTTCTATTTCGTTTCTCACAATTAATTTACTTGTATATTGTCTCTTCGGCTATACAAGTTATGCTTTATTTATTAAACAGCTAACCGCAAACGGTTATTCCTATATATATATATATATATATATATATATATATATATATATATATATATATATATATATATATCAGCTGAGTATCACTGATCAGTCAAGGGTGTGGTAGCCATTATATTACTCATAGCTGATTAGATTTTCATCGCTATTCCAATTTTTCGCCAAAACAAAGGTAGGAGACTCAAAGAATGTAATGTAAACTAGGAAAACAAGGTGGTAACGTAAACAAATAAACATTTATGTATATGTATAAAGTTACAGGAGAAGATTTATCTCACAGTGGTATAAACAATAAAAACAAAATGAAATTCAATTAAAAGTAAACAAAGTTAAATAGTTAAGTACACCAGTTTTGTTAATGACCTTTTCTTTACATCTTTAAAATTGAACTTCACTTGACAAGAATATTTCTATACTAAATATAAAATTAAATTAAAACATAATTAAGTGGAAGCATAACTTGTTTGATAATACATGCATTTCCTTAAAGTGAATGTTCAATGTTTGCATACACCTTTTTCGTGTTTTAATTATCATATCAATTGTGACTGTACGTTTCATGTAAAAATAGGAATTCAATAGTTTTCAAACAGCAAGTTGGAGTAATTCGCTTATGAAATGATGATGTAGTAACAGTATTTGTGTACAGAAGGAGACCATTTCAAGGTGATCGTGTCAGTGAAGTGCTGGTGTTTTGTCTTCTTTACAGCAAAATGGTAATAATACATTTCTCATCACTTTTAACTCCATTAGGTGGAGATATGTAGAGTTAGACATAAATTGACTATCAGGCTGTGACCATTATTCTATGTATTACTTGAATCCTGTCAATCGATTTTTTAATATTGTCACCAGGCATATTGCAACAACAAAAATTTGTGTATTAATCTATGTATTTCCTATTAAAGATCTGGCTAAACAACTGGTATTCGACTTTCTTTTAGGTTGTTGAAAAGTAATGAAATATATTTGCGTGAAAATAGAATGGATTTATCCTGACTGACCTGAAGAAATATGCTGTGCCTCTAGAAATCAGGACAGAAAAAATCTTAATAGGTTGTCTAAGTGTAATGATAAGAAATGAAATTATTATTTGCATGATGAGGTTTCCATCTTTATCATTTACTATATCTACATGTTGCAGGTCCCTTAGTTTCTCTGTTATTCGTTTCTAATGATGCTTTTTAAGTGTTACATAACTTTACTTGTCCTTATATTCCTTTATACTTATCTAAACTATCCACTTTTTCTTTATCTCCATGTAGACGGATGTTTCCACCCTTCAAGGTGAAAATCAATGGTTTAGAAAAACGCGCCAAATATATTGTTTTAATGGATATCGTAGCATTGGATGACTGTCGATATAAATTTCAAAATAATCTATGGACAGTTGCAGGTAAAGCTGATCCTGAAATGCCAAAACGAATGTATATTCATCCGGACTCTCCATCAACTGGTGAACAATGGATGCAAAAAATTATCTCATTTCACAAACTAAAGTTGACCAATAATATTTCTGATAAACATGGTTATGTAAGTTTGGCGATTTAATTATCCCACATATTTCGGTCATTTAAGTAATATATATTATATCTTTTGTAAATCTGGTGGCAAATATGGAGTACTTTACATCTAAGTAACGTTAATCCTATCATTTGTTGATACATTCATCCCAAAGCGGACGAAAACCGCATTCTCGATCCCACTGCTAGCCACATCCAAGTCAATTATGATGTGAATCTTTTACAGATTAATTTGTAAATTCATTTTTAAGATAGTCTGCTTTCACTTAACTTCTACTACTTTTGTGTTGACTAAGAAGTCGATAGATTTTAATTCAAACTGATGCATTACCAAATCACCATTCAGGTTTATGTCATAACTTGTTACTTCCTTTTGTTGAACAGTTTGGAACTACACATTGATTGGTTACTAAAGGGTAACCATGTTGTATAGTCCCAAGTGCTGACCAAATTCTATCGATCATTTTGTATGTACTCACCAGACCAAGTGGCTCACCACCGCGAAGCACCTTGATAGATGTTAGTTAGTTGGAGGCAATCGTCAGGAAACCCCGGGACCTATGTATCGTGTTTTTTGACACTCATCAGCAAGGCGTATCTGTAACCTCTATGGAACTAATATCCTACCTAGGATGCGGACCTGGGTCACCCAGAACTGGAATCAGAGATGTTACTGTCTAGCTATTCGGGCCACGACTGATCTCCTGTGCCACTGAATCAGGCACAATGATTGATCACTGGAGGCCAATCAACTTTATGCTGCCTAGTCCTAAGTGCTGAATGGAATTATCAGCTATTTTAAAGCATGCTCATAGTAACACATTTGTTAATGGTGGCCGGTAAATAAGATCTAAACCATTCAAAAAAAAGAAATAAAAATGCATCATATCAAACCACACTTGTTGCAATAAGAACAGATATTCTGACTTAATGACCTGGTGGATAATGTCTTGGTGTTTGAAGTGATGGGTTCTGAGTTCGATTCTCAGTGGGAAGGAAAGCACACTGAGAGCTAGGTACATCCAGCTGACACGTCTCATATAGGATGAAATGCCAATTCTGTATTCCATCGGTGGTCATGATTCTTCTCGAACATCACTTTTAATGTTTTGCATTTTTTACTGAATCAATGTAAAATCGATTAGTCTTACACCGCAAAAACTATCAAGTCTATTTGTAGCTTATTTGTGAAACGGTGATAAAGTGGCATACAACTATAAATTCATGTTTATCTCTTTACAGTAAACTAGATGTAGTGGTCATCTATTATTAAATACCATTATAAACTATAAAGAAATGTATTGCTAATCCATATGTTGAAAGCCAGTCGAAATTTGTAAAATCTTGACTCATAACCAACACCACAACAATAAAAATCATTCATTGTTCTCGTCGACTTCTTTTTGTTTCACTATTGTGCTTCTTGAGTGAAAAATTACCCTTCCGTCAACCGACATCACATTTATCATTCTTTATTAGTGTAACGCTTTTGAAGTTCTTTTCTTGTTCTTTTTTATTTAAAAAGTACGACGACACCCGCTGAGTAGTGAACAATGAATTTGTACAACTTGATTCTATATTCATTTTTGTTCATCTTTTCTAAGGTGACAAATCAATAAGTGTAGGTAGAACAAGTGAAGAAATTAAGTAAATATAAATATACATAAGTACCATATACTTTGAATCATACGACAAACCCTACGCATGAAAATACATGAAAGCTATCAAGCAGGTAAATAGTTGATTCAAGGTACAATGATTTGGCTTCTGACAATTATTGACAATTTAACTAGCACATTACGTATATGTTCAACATTTAATGTAGAGAAATTGTCAATACATAAAGGTATATATGAATAGTTTAAATATTTGATTATTATGAATGAGAATATGATGTCAAAAACGGTGTTGATTCTAAGATAAATTATGGGGTCAGCATTACCCGCATTTTGACTGTTGCCAAAATTTGTTTAAAGCAATTTCACTAGTCAAATACAATGGCTATATATATATATATATATATATATATATATATATATATATATATATATATATATATATGAGGTAACAGCTGATGGATAAAGCAGTCAAATTCATCGTCAAATACGAGGATGACAACAACAATAATAATAGCCACTTCTGTGATTTTTATCGTTAATAGAGATGCTTCCATGATGGACTACACTTAAATGTGTAGTGAGTAGTATAACAGAATAAGTGCGATAGGATAGTGTAATCAACCATTCTTCATAAAAATAGTTCAAAGGTATTCGTTTCTTACAAGAAGGAAATGAATTCAGAAATACAATTTCATTCTGTTTCATACTTAGTTATATCAACGTTACTAAGATATCGTATAATGATTTTGAACAAACTGGATAAGTTTTTTATAAGTTATCAGTTTGACTATCTGAGATGGTGTTCGCTTGTAAGACTTGTATTATTGTCACTGGGTGATGATTAAGCGTGAAATGAGGATCTAAGCAGGGGTAGGATTCCAGTCAGCTACCTGTAAGTTACCGGTCAGGAACTCTACAACTGAGCTATGAGACCAAGTACTGACCAGATCTTAATTTTACTTCAGTCACCAAGGTCTTTATCCTACTGACATATGAATTCGTCATTTGTAACTATCCATTCAGCGTATTCACACTCAGTAGCAATAATACGAGTCTGCCATACCATAAAAATCTCAAACAATCTCAGTTCGATTTGGATTGACATAAAAAGTCCTGATTTGACAGACAGTGTGAATGCAATGAACGGACAGTTAAGCATCACGAATTCATATAGCAGTCGAGCAAAACCCTATGTGACTGAAATGAAATTATGATTTAGTCAGTAGTCGGTTCTCGTAGCTCAGTTAATTGAGCATCTGATATATAACCCGGAGGCCACTGGTTCAAATCCTGTTGCGACCGAGATTTTTATTTCACCACCCAGTATTTTATAAGTACCACTGCAGAAATGAGCCAATTCATGCATATAGGCTTCGAGAAACCGACACATCAAGTTATTGCATTTGTTCGCTTAAACTAGAAAGGTATTTCAGTAACTCTGAACAAACATAAACTCACTCTGAAATTGACGAAAAAGTTATTCTACGATAAAATTGTAGCAATGATCAGTGGCTTGCTTGGAATATGAATAGCCTAGATTATGTAAACGTTAAAAGGAATGAAAGGTTGAACTAATCTACTGGCAAGCTTTATTTTGTCGACCCCAGAAACAAGATTAGCGATGGAACACTAGATCAACCTTTGGAAATCACTAATTTGCCAATGTACGGTGCATAAACGAACGATTTTGCTGAAATTGTTCTCAGTGAGAACTCTTTTAATCCTACGGTTAAGTGGTTGGAAGCTGAAAAATAACAAACATTCTTTCACAGCTTGTACACTATTTAAATAGGTGATTCAGATAATTTATTTTAAACAGATTGGTTAATCCCTACCAGTCAAAATGAGATGATTCTAATAGGTCATTTGTCTGATGCACTTGGTTTGACTAACAGTCTGCTCCCTTAGTTCAAATCATCAGGATGAAGCCAAAAAGTGTAACCGACATACCTATTTCCTACTTAAATATTGTTAGGACAATTAGACCAGTGAACCCCCCTGTGAGACAGGTGAAATTATCACAATGGGAACTGTTAATAAAATCAATGTTTTTACACTCGAACCTAAATTAAAGCACCATAGCATAACACACTAAGTATCCTCGACACGACCTCACTTCAAATAGAAAGATTCTTCAACTTATCGTAAATTTTTCATGCATATCTTCGTATATATGAACAGATTACTTATATCGCATGCTTTCACCTTTTTGAAACCAAGTAAAACCGAGGTAACATCAAAGAATAAAAGGACTAAATATTATCAAGGCTGAATATACTTTCTTTCCCTTTGAACTATAAGCATTGTTCCACTTTATCCTACCTTAATAGAGGTATCGTGTATACGGCTTTTTTACGTGTGAGTGGTTGTATGTATGGACAATAATACCAACTGAAACAGCTTGGTAGCTAAGATCCTTTTTATCATTACACACATCCACCTTATTTATAATTATCTTATTAATTAGTGAGAGACTACAAAGTCTCAGTTACAAAACTTTGTTGCTACAGTTCACATTTACGATATGGTTGACGGGACGCTGTAAGTGATCGGATTAAGGAAAAATTGAGTGTAAAGAATGTGCATATGTTTAACAGTAATAATACCGAAAATGACAAAAGAGACCATATATGAAAATTTCACTTTGACTGAAAGACTGTAGTAATTAGACATAATCAAACTTCAAAGAGAATATGAACAACCAAGGTGTAGGATGAAGTTTGTCAAATAATTCCAGATTCTTATCAAGTCTATGGTGTCACTGATATAAGATGAATAATAATTTAAGTGAATTGTTGCAATACCAAATTTTTAAGGTGATTTCATGAGGGAATGTAAAGAAATATAATTATGTAGTTATGGTGTTTGTCGGGATTTTATTTTTGAAGGTGGGGAATTGTTAGAACCTGAGAGTCTCAAGTTCGATCTCTATCCGGGTTGTGTGTGCATACTACTGAGGACTCCATACCAGCAGTCCCATGTTTTCAATGGTTCTCCACTGATATCAGTTCATGATGGATACTACCTTCAACATACTTATGTCCACGAAGCATTCGAATCCTAGTACACAGATCCCTAATTTAATGAACTCTGCTTGTTAACAAGCACAATGTTTAATTACTTGTGCTGCTAGTTATCATATTTCTTTTTTCTGATTTGAAATCTTCGTCTTAATGATATTTATTCTTATTTAGTCGTTCGGGTTGTTTATAGTGAAAACCCTGTTGGCATCAAGATCAGATAAGTTATAGAATTATAAAAATGCAGGATATGTTGACGTATTATGCATCTAAGCAACAGACATTCAGCGAAGAGTTACTCTTTACAGTGACTCATTCGAAAGATAAAGGAAGATTAAGTAATCAGGTTGGTTCATATAATACAATGATAAATTAAACTGGCAAGGTAAACTGTTTGCACAAGTCCACTGTAAGTTCAATGACTGAGCATACTTCCTTCTTATGCAGAGTTTATGCTTTCAAATATGAATTGCCATATCTTTGTCAATTTGAATTCTTTTCCACATAGTTTTCATGAGATCACTGTGTATATTGTAGAAGTTAAACTGTTCACCTGGTGTTCAGAATCGATTCAATGTTCAAAAATTGAGCTGCAAGATGATCTTCTAAATGTTTTGTTATACTGAAATGATAACTGTTTGACGAAGCGTTTAGAAAGCACATGTTGCGTACGGCCGACAATACTGTATTGATGCAATTAATCTGAACATCTTTCATCACTCATGGAATAAATATACTTGGTTCTTATCATATACGTGCTTATGCGCGAAGTTACCGTGTCAATATTTCAGTAAATGAACACTAGATTGCCATCATTAAAGTGCTATTCATCGACACATTGATACCTACTAGCTCTGCTGTTAAATGATAATTATTACCAATGCTTATGTGAGTGAATACGATAAACACAGAACTCTGGAGAAACATTCAGTTTTATAGGCATAATCTTACTTACCAAAGACATGGCGAAGGTAAATGAATTAGCTAGCTACTCATCAGCTAAACAGCAGTCAACTAAGGACGAAATGAAACTCAGTAAATGGCTAATGGATTCTGGAAAACGTATAATACTTGTTGTTGTTTTTGTTGCTATGGTGTGATCGAATCTAAATCGCCATCAATTAACAGTTTAGTTTTTCACATCCTCCTCCATTTGAAACTCTTACTACTAACCGATAGCCAACCTCTACAATCATTTTACTGTCCGTATTTCACGATAGCTGGTGCTCTATTAAATTCTTTTCGTCTAAAAATCATCCCTTGATGTGTATACATACGACTGTGTAAAAACGCCTAGTTACTTTGCCTATAGCCGAATCAGAAAAAAGTATCACTGCGTTTAAGCATTACATAATCGTGATTTGTTGTGTGGAAGGTGTTTCAAGTAATTTAGAGGCAAGTTCTTGATCAATTTAATCTTGAACGACATTCGTGAGGCTAAATATTTTTCTCTATGCCTCTATTATTTTTGAAAGTGTTTCATGTTGTGCTGATGATGGTGCCCTGAATGAATTGTTTACTAAGACAAAATCACATCAATAACCTTCACATTTCGAGTGGGGTCATTTTTGTACATAGATGAGTAAGTTTAGAGGTTACATAGAGCAGTCAGCCTATCTTTTTAAAGTCTCAGTTAATCTCTAAAAAGTTCCTTTCATTACTGTCTACTCTAAATCGACAGGAAATGATGGTTAACAATTACCAATTTTCAATCAAGACTATCTTAGGTTATTTAGTTTCAAATTGGTACATTGTTTGAAAGTGTTGTTATACAGAATGATCAAAAATGTATTTAAAAAACTATTCTTTTCATTCTTTTTCAACTGAACAGACAATATTGAATTCAATGCATAAATATCAGCCAAGATTTCATTGGTGCGCGCTAATGATATACTTCGATTACCATATTCAAAATTTCACACTTATACATTTAAAGAAACTCAATTTTTAGCAGTTACTGCTTATCAAAATGAAAAGGTGGGTTAAATATTCAACATTTACTCAGTAAATATTTAGTGGGAGATGAAAATCCAAAATTTTAAAGTAGGAGGGACCCTAAAAGCTACCTAAACCAACAACTCAAATGATCACTTAGACTTATTTATTTTACGAAAATCTGTCTTTCCAACTGAAATGAAGAAACCCATTAGGCTATTTTACGCGTTGTTAGTGTCGTCTTAAGAATCACAATAAAGCAGATATTTTTTATCGTATTCCAAGCACTTTTAATCATAGATGGATGTTGGCTAGTCAGTTACTGTAATAAAGGCAATACTAAACATCTGGTTTGAGAACATTTAACAGTACTAACCTGCAGTCTTATGTGGACCAAGCCCAGGACAATGATAACGTTTGCCTGATCCATTAATGAAAGATGACAGACAAACTCAGTCGATGTTGTATATTTTAACTAGAAGTATTTAGTTATTGAATTCATCTGCGATATAATTTCAAGAAATCTTAAAGAAAACTGTAATTAAGTGCAGACAATTAGAGTATAATCTGGTAAGGTATCAGTAGTAACGAGTGACAAAATCAACATAGAACCTCACACACAGATGCGTTGGCCCGAGTTGCAGCACTTCACAGCAGTACGCACGAAGAACAGGTGGATAGAAAAGGAGTGATATCAGGGAAAATAAAGTAGTGCAAGAGAATAAGCAATCCGAAGATAAAGATTAGTATGAATACGCGAGCTTTAGGAGACATCAAAGAGTGATTACATTTGCCCCATTGTGACTGATTTTCAAACATATCACCAACAGACCACAGTCAATGATTCCTTTCGTCCCGAGGACCCCATAAGAAAGTCTCCATCTTCCCAAACGGCTCATACACAGTCAGAGACTTCATTGACTGCTTCCACTTCTGCGTCTGGTCACGCTGATCCCTCTTTCAACTTCATCTGAATTCCCTAGCATAGCATGTCGAAGTAGGTGGTGGCTGGGTATGCGCAACACATATCCAACCCATCACAGTCGAATGAAGTTCACAACCTCATCAGTCAGCTTTCTTGTCTTGCCTATTATTCTTCTCCTGACCCCAACAATACTACCACGATTCCTCCACCAAATGTGAGTAGTGCATCGAAATCCAGTAATCTCTTCGTGTCTTCTACTTTTAAAGAACATATCTCAAAGCCATACAGGAGGACAGAACGGACAGCATCGTGTACTGGTCCTTTTATATATAGTTGGGGCCACAGACGATGCAATTTACGAATGCCAAACACCTACTATGCATTCAAACTCAGGTCTCGTCAGCAACCAACCAGCTCCGGCTGATACAACTCACAAGTAAGTGAAGTCGTCGACACATTCCACCACCTCACTCCTTATCACCAAATTACCAGTACTTCCAGATCAGTCCTGAGATATCATCCCAAACTCATAACAAACATACCCAGATCTCGGCTCAGAGTGCTCAGAAGACCCGACATTTTGTCTGCATCTCCACTCAGCAGGACAATATTGTCTGCATACTCCAAGTCAACGGGATGGTTGCCAGGGAGTAGATCAATTCCTGTGAAGTCAGACATAGCTGAGTCTATGTCCAATAGTACGTGTATGACGAAGTTAGCTAGGAAGGGTGACAGTGGGAATCCCTGGTGAACAGTACTGGTGGTTGTCAATGTCGATGGCGACTCTCCACAACCCCTTACATGGCTGCGAGTAGAGGGTTTTGATAAGGATTATATTTATTTTCAGTACTCCCTTCACAGTCAGACACTACCACTATATCTCACATTCAGTAGAGTCGAATGCCACCTTCAGGTTTAGAAGTATAGAAAGTGTCGGCAGCCTGTGTTCCGGAACCTGTCGGAGAGTGAAGATCTGGTCGATACACCCTCATTCAGGTCTGAAACCTGTCTGGCTTTCCTGAGTTGGCTGTTCTCGATCAATAATAGTAGTAGTAGTAGTGTGAGTAATAGTAGTAGTAGTAGTAGTAGTATGAGTAATAGTAATAGTAGTGTTAGTATGAGTAGTAGTAGTAGTAGCAGTGCTAGTGGTAGTAGTAGTTCAGACACTCCTTTTTCTTTCGACACAAATTCTCTTTGGTTATGTATCTCATTTTACCGTATTTTGTCACAGTACTTAACATATTATCTATTTACTTGAATAAAATTTACAGATTACACAACTGAAAATAGACAATAACCCATTCGCAAAAGGATTTCGTGAATCTGGTGGAGGTAGACGTGATAAAAAGTGAGTGTGTTACTCTTAAGGTGTATTTTGTGACAAGTGTTCAACGGTTTCCAACAGTGTTAACTTCTTTTTACTGTTCTGTTAAATATCTTACTGATTTCGATTATTATGAATATAAAAACGACTCTGATATAGATCGACTGACAAAGAGGACGAAAAAATTAATTCCACAGATTACAATTGGATCCTGAGCACTGACATGTTTAAAATATGAAAATAAAATGTTTGCATTTATGATCCGAATCTTTCTGCAGCTTTCACACATTAGTTGTCATCCCGTGTACTAATTATCTTGAATAATCTAATGAACAGCACAAACTAAGTGACTTATCCGAAGTAGATGGTTATAACTAGCTTGAAGCAGTATGTTTCACTTCTAAGAGGAATATCCCCTGATACGATACAGTAATATGGATAAAAATGTTTCTTCTCCGTTTGCTTCTGTAGCACATATGAACACCAGGCCGGAAACCGGTGGTTGCTGGTTCAAATCCCACCGCGGTCCAAATTTTCATTTAACCTTCAGTCATCACCCAATATCAATTGTAGTCTGCCAATACACTAGAGGGAATTCTTTCAGTTATGAGATATAAAAACTTTTATTTGTGGTAGTGGAGGGGAGAGGAGTTAGTACGAGTGAGACTGAAAGAATGAGTTTTTTGCTTAGTGGATGACATAGTCGACAGTAAACTATTGATGATTCATGAGTTCGAGTCATTTTTCAGCCACTCTAAGCAAATCACTCAGGTAATGCTGTTAGATTTTAAGCAGTCAGCACTACTCACAATCCAAAGCAGATAATTATCAGATTGATCTTCTTTTCGTTTGCAAATGGACGACCACTAGAAAGTTAAAACTATGATGGATATATATTCAGATGTCGTTGTTTAGTCATCGACGGGGTTATACCAGCAACATTATATAAACTATACCTTTCGCACAAGAAGTGTTTATCATGACTCGGTAGCCTAGTAGATAACACTCTGGCGTTTGAAGAAATTGATACCGAGTCTTGGTGGAGACAACATCGCTCACTGGAGGTCAGGTACATCCATCTGATAAATACGAAATGCGACGGAACCCGTATCCTGGATTCCACTGCTAACCACTATCTATCATTAATATCAGAAATATTAATCAGTAAAATTTCATGACAAATGAACTAAGATGGTATAGGTTTTGACTATTCTGTTTAAGAGTAAATTTCAATGAATTCCTCTCACGAATACTGTATTATCTGTAAAATGTTTTCTCCATGTTTATTATTTAATTATAGACGACTAGATAATTTAAAGTATCCTAATCGACCTATAAGTCATAATTGTGATGATCACAAGGATGTACGTGAAAGTTATGAAAGTCCAATAAATACATCATCTGATACAGAAAATGAACATGAATTCGAAGATTTAGAAATGCATTTATCGAATCAATTTGATAAAGATAATCTAACTGTAAATTCTACGAAAAATTTATTACCATTACATGTAAATAGAACAGAGTTGAAATCTGATAAACACTATACTAAACGTAAGTATTTTTTGCAATATTATTTAATTGTTGTAAATATATTTTCTAAACAAAATATACTATTGATTAATGTAGGTAGTTTGACAGCATTTGTGTAGATCAGTAACAGATTTTGTCGATTAGTTCAGATTGACTTTAAAATAAGTGATCAAATCACTCAACACCCAATACTCATGAACTAGTTCATTTAACTCTCATAGTTAAATTGCTCAAAATAGCTAACAAGCTTGTTTTTAATTCTATAGAATGATAAATAATGTACAAACTGTTTGACTCATATAGATACTGTTGTGCTATTCATTCAAATATTTCACAAAGTTATACATGTAGGTTTGGTACTTATCATGACTTATCAACAGCTTGTGTTATCCTAGAGATTGTGGTACTCAGAGATGTAACCACAGCATCAACTGTGATCAGAAACGTCGAAGAAACCAATATCATGCTGGTTAGCCTTCAGTGTTATCCCACTCCTATTGGTTACACATTGATATGTGGACAGTAAAATATGCTGTATAGAAATTCCATTCTTGACTACTTTATAAAGTAGTTTTCAAATGGCATGATTTTTACATATTACTCAACTATGAAAAAATCGGTATGTGAATGCATATACAGAGGATGAATTAAGTAAATCGTGTTATTTGATACTTGCAATTTCTTGTCACTATATGGGGTCGGATTTTTCGACATCTGTTGTCAAATTGGCTCCTATGCGGAAGTCTCGACACTGCTGAATATTCATCTTGGTGACTCGCAATGGAATCCAGGACAAGTGTTTTGTTTCATTTGGGACTCATAAGCTGGATGTAGGTGCATCCCACTGGGACTGGAACCCAGTACCCATCACTTCAAACGCTAAACCATTATCCACCAGTCAGCTGGGGCATGAGAGTAACCTCTTGATCAAATACTTATATATATATATATATATATATATATATATATATATATATATATATATATATATATATATATATATATATATATATATATATATAATTTTCACTCACCGAAAAAGAATATTCTACTAAAATTGACTGTCTATTTATTTATCTATTGTTTCTGCTAACTTTTAAATGGTACTAACATGCGGGCAGTTTCACGCATTCAATTGTCGTTATGTGTTTGTGAACATTAAATGCACACAGACATGCATGAAAAGAAAACATGACCCGATAATGTTGTTTTCTATGTCTTCCTGTGTACTGTATACTCGCAAATACGACTGAAAAAGGGAAATGAGTTTTTGAAATATCGAACAACATGAAAAAGGATAATTATGGTACTGGCGGATAATGGAGATGATAATTTAAAGGTCAGAAGACAAGATACAAGGAGGAAATCGGTTATTTATACCTACTGGTAAACCTTTGATAAAGTAAATGACTTGTGTGTGTTTACTGGCTACATGCGTTGACATAAATTAGTAGGTTAATGGAACTTTGTCACACAAAAAAAAATAGGACAGGTTATGCTTGAAGAGGCAATATAGGTTTTTCAATCAGTTCACGTGTTAAGTTTTTACACATGAACATTTATTCGATTAATCTCGTCTTCCCGCTGAGTGAATGATATTACGCGTTTAAACGTGTCTGAAAACGTGATATATGTTTGTGTGTTGCTACGGCTCTCCAAATATAAAAGGTACAAAGTGTTCCAAATTGTGCCCAAGATCAAAAGCATAATTATTTGTTCAAAAGATGATCATAATAATAGGGAGGAAATTTTAAGGCCTCACTTCATATCCTTTATTTTCCCAGTTATTCGTAAAGCTTACCACCTTACGCTATGCTTGATGACAAATGTTTCACTTATTAACCATTTGTATAAAAAGATATTCTAGATGAGTGATATTCGTGAAATAAAAAGAATAACCTTAGCAAGATAACCGGATAGTTATTGTGTAATGTGAATCGGTTAAAAGTTTCATCCAACTACTACTTACATTTAACCTAACTTATATAAATTGGTGGAGTATGATTCTCGTACTAGGCTTTCAGGCTCAGAATAAACATTGTCAGTATACCCAAAACCTAGTGGGGTACAAACCGTTAAGAAGAAGCTTCCCCTAAGAATTACTGAATTGTTACCAAGAGAAAGAGAAACAGTCATATGTCCTTGATTCTAGCCCTAAGTAACAGGAGGAATGTGCTCAGGACATAGGTATGTATTAGCATAGTATTTTCACTATTCAATAGCGAACCCCATTAGTTTGTAAAGAATTATTATCAGAAAGACTCATAGGTATGATATTGATTGTGCAGTTTTCAGAAAACTCCTGTTTCCAGAGTAACTATATGGTTTTAAATGTAGCCAGATGAATACGCCCAGAAAGTTTTCATTTTGGGACCACTAAAAACTAGAAACCACGAGGTATCTGTCTTGATACAGCTTAGAATGTACCAAGAATTCATAATTCCAACTTAATGAACGATGAAGTTTAGGACCGTCAGGTATCGCACTTAGTGAATTGCTATACATTTCAACCTCCGTTACTTCGCTACACAGTGCAACTACATCCAACGATGTCAGTGGGAATCTACCCTCACATCCAACATAACTGACCTTATAGATCACAGTTTTGCACTAGGAATTTAGCAGACGTCTCAAAAACAATCACTAGCAGTTACTAAATCGCTATTTGTTTGACTAGTTTGTGGTGAGACTAATATGTAATATACAGGCTGTAAATAACATAAACTCTTCATCCCGCAGTCAACAAAATCTCATTATTTGTGAAACTTAAAGGAAATAAAAATACAAGGCCAACAAAGACTTGATCTTATCTGTTACTCTTAAAATGTTGCTGGGAAAGTAACCATAGATCACTAGACAAAAATTATCTCCATACAGTTTGACCCAAATCTGATAAAGACCCTCCTACTAAATCTTGAATTGAACTTTCATCAATACATGAAGAACCAGTTGGCATATATAACCTGTAATGTGGATCCAACCACGTAATCTGTCCTGTGTATCAATTTTACAAATGTATTAGTGAATCCTACTTAGCTTGTTTGTTGTGATGTCAGCGTAAATCCATCCACCGATGTATGGTTGAACTTGTCAAAAACCAAAGACATTCGACGTCTTTTAAAACGTTGTTGATACTATAATGTCTCTCGGTAATATATTTTATAACTCTTTTTAAATATAAAACATTGTTACTGTGAAAAGTTTAATATCTAGCCAACAGAAATTGAATTCGAAGCTTGAATATTGTTTCTCAACATTGAATGAGGTTTTTTTATTTATTGTTATTTACGATTCTCCGTTGTTATACTGGATCTAATTGATCGCCTTCTGTTGACATATGAGTTCCTATGCGGATGCCTCATTATTGCCTGAATATTTAGTATTTTAACTGACTTCATTGTTACTAGTAATGGGACCTAGTACACGCGTTTGGTCCTACTTGGGACTCGACGGCCGGCTGTACCTGCAACCCAGGGAATGGTTTTATTCCTGCCAAGACTCGAACCTCGGGTCCATCGCTTCAAACTCCAATATACAAGATGTGGTTATCGCACCTAAGTGACCTAGTGGATAACACTCTGGAATTTGGAGTGATAGGTACTGGGCTCCAGTTTCAGTGATAAAACACTATTGACAGGGATGCAGGTGCATCCAGATGATGAGTCACAAACAGGATGGAACATGCATCCTGAACTTCACTGCTAACCACAACAAAGCCAGGTATTGGATAAATTCACTGGTAACACATTCGGTTAACTCGTCAATTTCATAACCCGCATGTCAACAAGATGAGTTTATCCCTTGTAAAATTGTATTAGCGTACTATGTTCGATAAACTTATTTTTGGATTACATATTACTATAGCACCCAGATCCTACTTCTATGTAAAAGACTGTTGTGTTTTGCAATAACTCACTGATTGTATTTTATTCTCATTAATTTTTATAGAAACTTAAATTTTATTTCATAATGTTATTAGATTGTTAGTAACTGATAAAAAAATTTTTAATTTCCATTAATTAGGTATTGGTTCGAAGGGATTAGGGGATCTTGGCAGTCGAGGTGAAAAACTCCGTCGAACTAATCAATTTGATCATTTTTCTTCACAAAATGAAACTATACACAAAACAAATTTCACAACGCAAAATGATCATGGGATTTATTACCATAAAGGAATAGATTCCATACAAAATTCTTCACCATCATTTTATTGTCCGTCTACACTGAACAATTTATTTGCATCTTGTCAAACTGATTTAAGGCGTAACTCCTTAACACATCTTCCTAGACTAGGTGAGATTCCGCCGAATGTAACAGTTATACCAGATGAATCAGGTGGACGTTTTAATAGTATGTTAAACACTAATGAAAATTCAAATTATTTATCACACTGTGAAGATGGCATAGACTCGCATAAACTTGGATTTTCTGTGAAAAATCAGAATACAGATAAAAATGATCCTACCCAGATTAGTAAGTTTCTGTCAGCTTGGACACATCACTTTACATCACAGTTGATTCAGAATCAATTAATGGAGCAAAAAATTCCCCAACCATCTTCATCCATTCCGACTTCATTTCCAATACCACCAATAGGATTGCCTATAACTCGAAATCCTCCTGGAACTTCAGCAAACCTCTCACAAACCTTTCGACAGTTTGATAATATCTCACATGGAAATATTTTCAATGCAGTTAATCCAATATCAAGTTATGCTTCGAATTTTGCTTTTTACATGCAACAATACCCTGAGTTTATACCACATATTTTGTCACTTTTCTCTCAAAATCCTTTTCAAACAGATAGAAACAATAGATTTCATGTAACTACTATCACTACTCCAAGTGCATGCTTGAACGACACTGTTGTTACAGCTAGAAATAACTCAGCCACTAAAACTACGACCGCCACTCTTAATACTACTACTACTACTACTACCACTAACACTAATACTACTACTGGCACTACTATTACTAATACTACTAATAAAAACAGCACCAATAATAGTGATACTACTACTGCAACTGAAAACAGTAGTATTATCGATGTTATAGGTGGAGAAAATGATACGATTTTATTGAATTCTAAAGTTAATTCTGAACAACGATCACCTGATTTTTCAATTTATGCTTTAACCAGTCTACAAAATTCTACATCCCCAAAACCCATAACCCGATCTATTTCGTTATCACCGACTCCACGTATCTTAAGGAATCAATCTCCTTCCGTATATTCAGTTGAACTAAATGATCATCCACTTCAAAATGCAGTTGGTGGTAATCATTCAGTTAGTAAATCGCCTACAGAAAGAAACAATAGTGATAATTGTAGCAATAGTAACGACGATTAATTCATCTCAACAAGCATCCATACAATTAAAAGTAAGAACCTTACCTCAAAACTTAACTAATGCATACATGGGAGATTACGACAAATTTGAGATTACTTCTGTGATTATTTTGGATTTCAGCTAAATACTATTCTCAAGTGAACTACATTATATTATTACTTTCAGTAAACCTTCATGACAGTGCAAATAAGTGGTACTTGATGTATAAGCATAAATATAATCAGAGTTGTACTTATGGTTGATTTTAAATTATCAAAGTTGCAACTATTCACTGAAGCAGTTTCAGTATTTTATCTCAAACTGAGTGAAAAAATGTCATTCCGTTTGTTTATTTATCTAAATACTTTTTAATCATGTTACTAAGATTTACTGAATATTTATACATATACGTAGACTTTGATAACTTCTGATCTTCGGTGAAGTATTCTATTGTTTAACCTCTATACTTATAGTTTACTGTACAGCGCATATACATTCCTATTTTCTTCTCGTTAACCAAAAGAACAATCAGTTAGTTGGGCGTATGCCTTATCTATCTTAGTATCTTATCAGTAGTATGAGTCTGACTTCACTGTTTCCCTCATATACATATGATAAGTAACTATGTTTGTTAGTAGTGATATGAATTCTTCTTTTCTATTTGAAAATAATGTCATAGTGTGTTATTTATTGGTTCACGTTTAAGTAATGAGATAGCCTTTTGTTTCGATAAACTGGAAACTTTAAATTTCTTCTAATGCCAATGAATTAACATTCCTCTGAGGTAGCTCGACATCTTTTGTTCATCTCTCGTTATTCTGTTTTTCTCTTTCTTAGATTTTATCAATCAGCTGGTTGAAATCCCCGTTAGTTTCTTTCGGATTATATATATATATATATATATATATATATATATATATATATATATATATATATATATATATATATATATATAATTACGTAATGTACCTACAATTCTTTTCCTTAACATTAATAAAACGTAATCATTACTCATGTACTTATTTAATAAATATGCAGTAGAGTAAACAGCCTCCAAGAGACTTTACTGATTGTTTAAGACGAGTATATAAGGATTACCAGTAACTTTAATTAACTTTTTAAACAGTAGGGAAGAAATGAACAGTTTTGTTGGTCAAAAAGATGGAAAACTCGCCTTAAGAAAACCTATTATGTTATTCTAATGCCAAACACAACTTATTTGGTTGTGGTTGAAAGTGAAATGTAAATTATGGTAGCTGTTATATTTGAACTAGTGGCTTCTGAACTACCGGCCAAATACTTTATAAGGTAAGCTAAAACAACAAGCTTCTAACCAGCTGCTAAATTCATTTCAGTCAAAGAAAGTTTCGCTCAGTTGTCATGTCACTGCGTGATACTTTGCTGTCTATCTACCGTTATCAAGTTAACTGTGCAGCCAGTTCTTTCTATCCCAATCCAAATCGTGGTCGTCAGCTTGAATCCTAATATGACCCAAGTTTTCAGTTCATTTATGATTGTCGCCCAGTATCATTGATACCAGTCTGCAAGACTACATATTTCTTAGGTAACCTTACCACCCAACAGTTTATTTTTTCTAGAGGAATGATTGTGTTCTCAGAATATTGGTCTTTATTTCACAGGTACAGAAGAGCGTAAATTGTTGTAGTCTGAATTATATATTCCAAAATTCATGTGCTTTGATGATTACTTGGATTAAAAACCAAAACATGCATTTCGTCCAGTCATCTGTATATGCTTGCATATAAGTGAACTTTTGTGTTATTAATGCTTGGCAACTTCATCAAAAGGAATATCTTAATGCGAATCAAAATAACTTCCTTGAGCTAAAGTGTTACGACAGCACAAAATGCTTATATGGCTAGTTTCATCTGCATGAAATGATAAGGGAAAATGTAACTGTAACATTACTTATTGATACTTGTAGTTTCTCATCGTTATACTAGACCGATTCGATCGACCTCTGTTGACATATGGGCCCCTATGCCGATACCTTGATATTGACTGATCGGAGGATACGTAACAATTCGCTTGTTGGTGACTAGCAGTGGGATCCAGGAAGTGAGTTTCATCATGTTTGGAACTTGTTGGCTGGATGTACCTGGAGCTCAGTGACTGGTGTTACTCCCACATAGACTCGAATCCAATACCTATCACTTTAAACTCCAAAGCCTTATCCACTATGCCACTGAGGCACGACAGCCACTTTCTGTGCAATGGAAACTAGTTACTGTTATCAACTGGTGCTTGCAATCGCAATTACATCTAACTAACAAGTTCCAAATCAGACGAAAGGTGCGTGTTGAATTCCATTACTAGTCACCACAAAGCAAATTACACTTAGTCATATTTTGCATCTTACTTTCTTTTATCTGATATAAGAGAAAATTGTGCTAATGAAGATTTCAAGTTATTAACTAATTTATCATTTCATTTTGAGAATTCTCATAGACTGTGAAGATATTAACTTTACTTGCACCCACAGTGGTGCTCATTTTTCACATTATATTTGCGATAGATAAAGTTAGTTCCAGTACAGGTGAGTGATCAATAATTGAATGATGGAACAATTTATTGTCGATTTAACACCTCTATCGACACATATGCTATATACTTGCACTTCATTCTTCATAATTCATTTCAATAAACGGAAGTCATTACTTGTTATTTTTGCATCAGTTTTATGATGCCGAATACTCTGGATGGATGAAAATCTTGATAAAGTGTGTGTCTGAATCTGAGATTATTGTCGGAATCAGGTGAATTTGCTTAATTATTGTTAAACTTCAATTATCACCTCAAGTAAGTCAATGCATAATATTTCGATAACTTAATCTATAGTTACTATTCAAGGCGTATATCAAGACAACTTTCCAGACAGTATCTAGATAGTTTTCTTGAGATTAGTTTTTATAGCTTTCATAAGATTATTTGACTTAATAAGGAAATTTTTCTTATGAAATGAATCGATGACAACTAAAAATGATGAAAGTCACTATTATTATACAGAGATATAAAAGAAATGCGCAGTTCATGAAGATGATTTCAGTGACCTTACTTTTTTCAGCTGGGTAATTTAATCAGTTTCTTACTTTTGTGTTACTGAATTCAATGATTGTGGTAGCGCATAAATTAGTGTTATAATTAAGAGTAATGGCTCTTCGTACCTGTATCCCTAATTTGATAGTAATAGCTAGTCAATACAAGTGTTTGTATGAGTCTTACTGGTCACAGAAAACAGGCAGCACTGAAGCCAGTGTGCACTCAATAAAAAAAAGGAGAACATCAAGCACGTATTTAGAGGGAGGGAGGAAGATATCTAAGCATCTGTCTGAATGTGATAGAGATGCTCATCCTGAGAAATCCTGACGTGATATATGGTATGATGAAAAAACTGCCGCAATATACATCGGAGGTCGGCAAAAACATCTTTGGATTTCCGCAGCGCCATCTGAATTTAGTGATGCCAGAAAACTGATTCCAGAGGGTTCTGACCACAACGAAAATAGAATGCAACTAATTAGGCTTATTAAGGACATCCGCAAGGGAAAAATGATGGTCAGTGAAACCATAATGGGAAAGGATTGTACCTTGATAACCTCCTAGGGCACGTGGCTGGAACATTGGCGAGAACACTTTGAAGCACGGCTCAGCTGGTGAACAGCATCGTTTTGGTTGATCAGCAACCAGTTTGAACCTGAACGGGACATTGATATCGGTCCTCTAACCTTTGTCGTACTTGAGAATGCTGTTCCGAACCTGATACGATGCAAAGAAGCAGGACTAGACGGTTCGCCACCCGAAGTTTTTAAGGATGGAGGTATGGAATTGCTGAGTAGAGTAACGAAGGTACTAGGTAGTTTACAGGAATCAGGGGTGGTGATGTCAGACTGGTCTACTTTTTTGATCATTCCAGTGTATAAGAAGGAAGAGAAGCTTTCTTGTGACAACAAAAGGGATCAGTTTGGCTAACAGCTGTCGGATATCCTTGGATCCATAGTTATTGATGTCTAATTAGAGCCTGAGGACGCAAACTCGAGAAAACCAGACAGGTTTTAGATCTGGACGAAGATGGGTTGATCAAATCATCTCACTCTGACAAGAACTGGGAAACAAGCACACTTAAAGGCGGCCGATACTTTCCATATTTCTAAACCTGGAGGTGGCATTCGATTCTGTCGACTGTAAGTTGTTTTGGCCGTATCTCATCACAAAGATAGTACCACTGAAAGGGTCTCTATTCGAACTCTTGTGGCCATGTAAGGGGTTGTGGAGAGTCGCCATCGACATTGACAACCACCAGTACTGTTCACCAGGGATTCCCACTGTCACCCTTCCTAGCTAACTTCGTCATACACGTACCATTGGACATAGACTCAGCTATGTCTGACTTCACAGGAATTGATCTACTCCCTGGCAACCATCCTGTTGACTTGCAGTATGCAGACAATATTGTCCTGCTGAGTGGAGATGCAGACAAAATGTCGGGTCTTCTGAGCACTCTGAGCCGAGATCTGGGTATGTTTGTTATGAGTTTGGGATGATATCTCAGGACTGATCTGGAAGTACTGGTAATTTGGTGATAAGGAGTGAGGTGGTGGAATGTGTCGACGACTTCACTTACTTGTGAGTTGTATCAGCCGGAGCTGGTTGGTTGCTGACGAGACCTGAGTTTGAATGCATAGTAGGTGTTTGGCATTCGTCAAATTAGGTCGTCTGTGGCGCCGACTGGCAAGATGTTCAATTATATATCAAAGGACAAGTATACCCTGCTGCAGTCTGTTCTATCCTTTTACTCGGCTATGAGGCATATTCGTTGAAATTAGACATCAGGAGATCTAGGTTCTTCAAACACAAGTGTCTTCATAGCACTTTCCTCATGTGGTGAAATCACCATGTTAGCAGTTCAGGTAGAGGGTACTAGGTGAAGAAGGCAACTCGACTGGTGGGGTTGCGAACTTTAGTCAACTGAAGTGGCTTGGACAGTGTTGCGTATGCTGAGT